GAGAGAGAGAGAGAGAGAGAGAGAGAGAGAGAGAGAGAGAGAGAGAGAGAAGAGAGAGAGAGAGTGTGTGTGTATTTGGAGAGGGAGAAGATCGTAAGAGAGATGGCATTGAGAGAAGTGACAAGAAGTGAAAGAAAGACCTATGTGATCTTTTACAGGTGAATCATATAAATTTTTTTTTTTTTTCCACCCCTTTTGTTTAAGCAAAACCCAACAAAAAGGTTTGGGAAGTGGGTCGAAAAAAAAAAAAGGGTTAAAATGTGATAGGGTTTTTTTTTTTGTTTTTTTGTTTTTTTGTTTTTTCTTTTGTGAAAATGGTTTGGTAGGTTGCAGCCCTATCAAAATAAGTAAAGGCTCACCTCATAACTCATTAAAAATTGCAATTCAAGAGTTGGAAAACTTTTACATCGATCATCTTGGCTTGAACATTATGGTTGTGAAAAAAAAAAGATTTCAAGCTCTAAAAATAACGTATATTGTCATAAATTATCTAGACTGTCCATTTCAACCTAAAAATAAGTGTTCAAAGATCCACAATATCTGTACCCTTTTTTGAGTTTCAAAATTTATAGTTAGTATTGAAAATTGATTTTAAAGCCATCATAGAGATTTTTATTATCGAAAGTGCTTTCTGAACAAGAATTTGAAGTGAGGTTTTATTTTGTTTTGCCGATGAGATTGTTTGGGACAGTGAAAAGGATAAACTTTTTTCAATAAGGTAGGCTTCTCTTTAATGATAGGGTCAGATGGGAGAACTACACCATTGGTTTTATTTGGAAATGGCCTATTCCAATGAAAATTCAAGCATTCTTTTGGGTAGCAAAGCAAGATAAATGTCTTACAATTGATAACCTTTGCAAACGGGGAAGAGTTCAACCAAATATATGTTTTACGTGCAAGAATGATGAAGAATTGGGTAATCACCTTTTTTTTGTCTTTGCATTGCCGGTTCGCAGGAAGTATTTAGCAATGGGCATTGAGAAAGTTGGGACTCGTTATTATGATACTTGCAAACTTCGTTGGCATTGTGAATCACCTTAGTCCTGTTGGTCTACCAAGGAAAGGAATTATACTTTGAAAAATTCAAGAGATCTTTTGATGGGTTTTTTTTTAGACTTGGAAGGCGTCAAAGATCGGATCTTACAAACTTAGTGGGGATGGTTCTCCTCGACTTCATCTCGAGTGGACATCCATATTAATTTAAAGCTGCCTTTTAAGGCTTCTTCATGTTTAATTTTGATGGGAGCTCTTTAGAAAATTCAAGTTCTGATGGGATTGGTGGCTTGCTTTAAAACAATGAAGGGGCTGTCTTCTCTTCCTATGCGGAAACTTGTACCAACACCTCGGCTAATCAAGCTGAAATTTTCTCTCTCCTGCATGGTATAAAGCTCAATATTTCTAGAGGATTTTTGGAAGATATTATTATTGAAGGGGATTCCTTTAACGTTATTAAATGGGGTAAGAAGGAACAAAGAATTTGATGGTCTCTTCATGTATTTTGACTGAAAATTTCTGAACTCTATGCTATATCGGGGCTTCTGTTTTCATTTTTTAACATATATCATGAAGCCAATGAAGTCGCTGATAATCTTGCAAATTCGGTGTTTCTTTAGCCTCTTGATCACCTCTTGTTCTTGAATTTTGTGCTTGTGCTTCGTGAGCACTCATTCAATAAAAGTCAGTAATATTGTAAAAAAAAAAAAAAAAGGCTGAGCCTTATAGAAAGTTCATCCTTTACTGTAAGGCTAAAAGGGTTTAAATTAAAAAGTTGGAGTAGTACGATGGCATGGAGTGAGAGGTTCTTAAAAAGTTTAATGCCAGAATGATATTTACAAGGTTGAAGGGCATACTACGAAATAAATGTGATTTTTGGGGGTGAAGATGAAATTTTCTCTTTTTCTTTATGATTTTAGAAATATTTATTAATCCATAATAATTGCAGAGTACAACAAGCTTTTAAGGAACATCATCAAACACCATTAACTGTGAGTGAGTGATCCCAACTTGGCGATATTGTCTTCAACTTTGTTTGCTTCTCCATATACATGCTTGTAAGAAATCTCCTTCAAATTTTCGAAGTCAAATAAATCTCAAACTTCATAAAAAAAAAAAGAAAGAAAAAAAAAAGAAAAAAAAAAAAAAGAAACTCTCAAACTTCATGGACTTATCTATTCCTTATTATACCCATAAATGATGTTCAAAGAGTCACTTTACTCCAATGGAACATCATAAAAAGCCTTAGAATGTTTTTTTAAGGATGCAAGCCCTACGTTTTATGAGAAAAAATAAAGCCTCTAACCTTGAAATCTTGTCTGAAAAGCACTTTGATCTTGTAGATGGGTCTAACATCTATTTTCGCTACAAGTTATGAAATTTGTAGCTAAAAGAATGGCACAGCTCTTGTAGATCTACAAACACTTTAAAATAAACGGTCTAGATAATGCGTTATAATATATTTTATTTTTAAGGTTTGAAATCTTAATTTTTTATTTTTTTTACAACCATAATGATCAAGATCGAGATGATTAATTGGAAGGTTTTCCAACACTGAAATCATATTTTTCGGTGAGTTTTGAAATGAAGCTTTTACTTCCTTTTTTTTTTCACAAAGCTATAACCTTGTTTTAACCTTCTCTTTTAAATTGAAATTTGAATTAAAAACCTGCTAACTTTAATATTAAAAGTTGAAAAATGGTTCGATAAGGCTGCAGCCCTATCAAAATAAGTAAATCCTCACTTCATAACCCATTGAAAGTTGTAATTCAAGCTTTGGCACACTTTTACATCAATCATCTCAACTTGAACATTATGGTTGTGAAGAAAAATTAGGATTTCAAGCTCTAGAAATAAGTGTATATTGTACCACAAATTTTCCCTAAAAATAAATGTTTGTAGATCCACAAGATCTGTATAATTTTAGAGTTTTAAATTTTATTATTGGTCATGGAAATTGATTTTAGAGCTATTATTGAAAGTATTTTCCGGATGAAGATATGATATGAGGCTTTATTTTGTTTGCAATAAAAACTGGGAAAGATTTATATAGAGTCGAGGCTTTAAACAATCAAATTAGAGCATAAAAAATTTCATTAGAAAAAGTTGTTTCGATGCCCAAATATCGTCAAATTGATCATCTCGACGTCAAGATGCATGGACATCGGAAAAAATGGATTTCAAGTTTTGGAAATAGCGTATTTGGTAACATATTTTTGGACCATCAATTTTAAAGATTTTCATAGATCCATCCATCTACACTATTTTTGAAGCTTTATACTTTATAAATAAGGATACAGTTGGCATACGTAGAGGTAAGGTGCACCTTCAAATTTTATTATGGCATATAATTTTGATGTAAAATATTCTTAAGATTATCTCAAAATCTATTTTTATATCTAATTATAAAATTTTAAATTTTAAAAATAGTTAAAATCAAGTAGATCTATAAACTTATGAAAATATTGAAAATAGACCATGCAGATAATATGATGTAAAATATACTATTTATGAGAGACTTAAATTTTTTTTATTTTTCATAATCATACGTCTCGATATCGAGATGATGAATCAAAAGATTTGTAATCATTAAAACTATCTAGAGGTAAGGTTACAATCTTATATAAACTTTTTTCTATAAATAAAGATGAACAAAGATTTCCGACACTATTTGAAGGTATACAAACCGCACCTACAAATATTTTCAATAAAATTCCCAACATTTTCTCTCTTCTCTTTTCCGTACTTCCTCAGTTTTTCTCTCTCCATCCTAAACAGTGACATGGCCCCACTTTCTTAAAACAGTCACCATTTCCAACACCTCACACACTCTCTCTCTCTCTAAAATTCCTCTCACGAGTCACTCCAAAATAATGACATTGTATCCGATAATCCTTCTTCTCCCTCTCTCTCACTACTATCTTTCTCTCTCTACCCCCAAGTCGTAGCTCCTGCTGCAGCAGCAAGAGTTTGGACTGCTGCGAAACCTCCTTATACCCACTTTCTCTCACCACCATGCCCAAAACCCAAGACCTCGAACCCTAGCCCTCGCACCACCGAACCAGGGCTCGGACCGAAATGATGATGATGGGCGAGCCGTCCTCGCGTCCGCGTGCGCCGCCGATGCGCCAGACCTTCAGCCCGCGCCTCAGCAATGGCGACGGTCATGAGACCAAAGCGCCTCGCTCCATTACCCAGTACACCCCTTTCTCTCGCAACACTCGCATCTCTCTCGCTCTAGCACCCTGCGCCCTCTTCCTCCTTGACCTGGGTGGAATCCCTGTTATGCTCTCTCTCTCTCTAGGCCTACTGCTCTCTTATGCCCTCGACTCTTTCTCTCTCAAGACAGCGGCCTTCTTCTCGCTCTGGGTCTCTCTCTTTGTTTCTCTCTTCTCCCTACTCTTCTCTCCCACCTTCCTAAATCTCCCTTTCTCTCTCATCGTGCTCGCGTTTGCTCTATGTGCAATCACTGTCTTCATTCTTGGTGTCTGGGCCTCGCTACAATTTAGGTTTCTCCAGCTTGAGCACCCCTCTGTTGTTCTTTCTCTGGAAACCCTAATTTTTGCATGCACGCCGGTCGTGGCCTCATCGATCTGGACATGGGCGTCTGTCTCTGCCCTAGGAATGCACCACGCCCCTTTTTTCCTCTCTGCTTTTCTGTGCATCTTTTATTGGGCTTTCTCTCTCCCTCGGCGATCATCATTCAAGAAATCGCCATCTCTCGAGAGGTTTCATGGAGGTCAGATCCCAGACGAAACCCTAATTCTTGGCCCTCTCGAATCATCGATCCATACCCTAACCCTACTTTTCTTCCCCCTCCTCTTCTACCTTGCCTCTCACCATCGAGTCGCCTTCTCCTCTGTGAATTCAATATGTGATATGCTTCTACTGTTCTTTATCCCCTTTCTTTTCCAGCTTTATGCCTCCATGTATGGGGCTCTGTGGTGGATCACGAAGGACTCAATCCAGTTGCACGGAATTAGGGTTTGGAATGGGGCGGTGGCTCTTGTTGTGGTCACAGTTTGTTTGGAAATTAGGGTTGTTTTCCACTCGTTTGCAAAATATCTCCATGTTCCGCCACCATTGAGCTATCTTCTGGTTACATTGGTTATGCTTGGCAGTTCAGGAGGAGCAGGGGTGTACATGGTTGGAATGATCAGTGATAGTTTTAGTTCACTTGCTTTCTCTGCTCTCTCTGTTATGGTCAGTGGAGCTGGCGCAGTGGTTGTTGGGGTCCCCCTACTGGTATGTAGAAATGAAAGCTTTTTGTTGGTTTATAGAAGGAAGCGTCAAGATAATTTATGGCTTTACCTTGGTTCTTTAAACTATGGAATCTATGGGTTTATCAAGAAAATAAAGTAGAGATTTTTTGTGGGATTACAGTGTTTTATGTGTTTGATACTGTATAAAATGTTGATAATCTTGTAGAGTTTCAAAACAAGATCGATAATCTTCTGTCTGATTTTGACTGGAGTATGTGAGAATGGATGATTGACTGTTTCTAAAGTTTTTGTGAATGTGTCTTGGGTTTTGCTAGCTGTTTGAGGTCATTACTGAACTGGTCACGGGCATGGAGTTTTTTGATAGTTATGTTGCTGCCTGATGTTTTGTGTGGATTCAGTGAGGATAGTGTTTTGAGCTTTTCCGACGGTTGAAACTGTGAATATTGTGTAGTTCTTAGTGATGAATGATGTCATTCTTGGGAAATTCTTATTCTTGTGAAATTGTGAAGAATTTGTAACTTTAGACGATGGGGAGGCTAATTCTTGGCGAATTAGTGTCCTTGTGAAAATGTGAACAATTGTTAGTCTTATGAAATGCAGAAGGCTACTGTTGCGAAATTCTAATTCTTGTGAAACTGTGGAAATTTGGTGGTATTAACGAAAATTGTTTCATGCGGGCTGCACTGCATTTCTACATATGCGGTCCAGAAGTATAAAGCATCCGTCTCGAAGATGGATCTTCTTAAAGATGGATGCAAATATGTGGTCCATCTAAAAACAATTGAAACTAACTGTCCAAATGTTTTCTTAATAGAATTATTATTTCTAGTTTTTAAAATATATTTATTTTTTCATATTCACGATCTTCATATTAGAGATTACATATCCTTAAAAATTAATTCCAAAAAATCTATCTCAAAAATAGATTTATTAAGGGGCACGCATTTCTACATGTGCGGACTTGGCCTGCATGCTAACCGCGTCCTTTAAGTAACGCAAAAAAAAAAAAAATGTTGACTTTCCTCACTGCCCTGCACCCTCCTCCTCTAGTTTTCTGGCATCCATCTAGAGTTTTCCATGAAAAGTTGTCTTGCATCCATGTAGAGTTTTCTTTCCTAAATGTCACTGAAACCTTATCCTTGTGTGTGTACCTTATAAGTCCATCTCCGTAGGGATCTTCTTTTCCAGCAGCCTTCCTAATTAGGTGCTTTAAGCCTACATCTCTTGGGCATTTCACTTCCTAGGCCTGAATCGTAATCTGCATGGTTTTTGTCAATGTTGGTCGATACATTGCATATAGGCTATTTAAATAACATATACAAGTATCTATTCTGTGAAACAGAATATTTTTTTTTTAATATCACCTTATTTGAATTTGGATAGGTTTTGGCAAGAATGGGGTCTCTATGACATGTTTTGGGGTTGAGGTCAAGGTGGTAGCACCACCTGTGACTTAGCTACTGGTCCCGATTTCCATTCCTACCAATGCTAACCCCTTTCAAAAACTACTAACGGTTTCAAAAAATTGCTAACCAGCTACTAACAGTTAGCCTTCAAAAAAGGAAAAAAGGGAGGTTAAAAGAAGTGTCTATGTTTCTTAACTGTTAGACAGAAGTGTTGCATCCTTGCTGTGCTGCTACGTGCCAAAGACAGTGGATACACGTATCTATGTTACATAGCTGTGAGGTCCTTTGGACCATTGAAAGTTAGTGATGTATTTGGGGGATATACTGGAGATTGGTAGTCCCAAGTGTGTTCACGTTCGTATAGTAGGAGGATAAAGCCAGTGATACATTGGCTGTGAGTAAGGTCTGTAGAGCTGGTTTGAGCATGTTGGAGTCCTTCCCTACATTGTATTGTTTCTCATGCATAGAGTTCCTTGCAAAATTTCAATCCTTGTAACATATGTTTTGGTAATGCAAAGAAGTGATTGGAAAAGGAAAACTTTGAACAGTTTGAATAGTCTCCTTGCTGATGATAATGGTTTGCTACAGATTTGGAGATTCCCAAATGAAATGCAACCATTTGGAACTGCTTGAGCACTACTCTCTCTTTCTTTAAATCTAGAAAAGAATTCTCATTATTTGATAAGGTAGTGAATGGTCCCGTCGACTGCGCCACACTGCCAATGTGCACGAGGGGATATCTTAGCATTCCTTTTCCATAGTAGGACAATAGAATATACTATGCATTTCTAGTTCTCTGGACATCTGATATGAGCAATCTAGCCCAATGAAATCAATGTTGTCTTCATTATTTGCTGAATAATATAACTTTTTGTCGTCTTTAGTTAAATTAGAAGAATTATTTTCTGCTGAATCTTTGGATAACTTTGGTTGTCTTGACCCAGACTTGGCTTCCTTTCCAGCCGCGTCCATTGGATTTTTTTGCCTTCTGTGTTTGGGATTGCCTATCATTCTCTCTAGGATCACTTTCTTGAGTTTTGACAATTTTGGTTCTCTATCTCTTGCTGACTCATTTATCTTGTGGCACCACACTAATCAATAGGTTTCTGCTAGTAAACATGAAATATTGATATTCATCAAATAATTTTATCGAAATTAGTGTATGATGATAACACTCTGCAAGTTTGTGGAGGAGAGATCTAGGGTTTGAACCTACCTCTTGCAAACTAAGCTGACCTGCTGAAAAGCATAAAACATCATGACACTCACCTGGCAACCTATTTGATCATTTCTGTTTCTGAAAGATAATTTAGCGTACTTATGATCATTACAAAACATGGTTCTTGCTTCACTCATTATTTTATTAACCCCAAAAAGTCCATTTTTTAAATCTCATCTAAATTATCAACTTGTCTTTACTAGCAGCTGTCACTGACATTCAGCACATTTTGGTATGACCTCTGGGTACCTTAACTGTCCTGAAAGGGGAAAGATTTTTTTTCCTGTGATATCCTCTTTCATAGTACAATAAAGAATCAATTTTTAGTTTGAGTGGTCTATATACATATTTTTTGTGGATTATGTGAATTCTTCTTTTCTTGATTTTGTGATATATTGTGCTTGAGATTGCTTAGTAACACACCCAAGAGATTTCTTTTTTGAGGTTTCATTGTGTACTTTCTAAATCTTTAGAAGATACTTTTGCTGTTAATTAAATTCTAAAGATTTCTTGGAATATATGCTGATTTTTAATATAATTGTCATTAATCTTGCAGTTGCTCCCAGTTCCCGTAATCTCAGGTTTCTACCTTGCACGTTTCCTCACAAAGAAGAGCTTGCCATCATATTTTATCTTTGTCGGTTTAGCAAGCTTGACAGTTACATGGTTTGTTGTGCATAACTATTGGAGCCTTAATATTTGGGTAGCTGGTATGGCGCTGAAATCCTTCTGTAAGCTTATAGTTGCAAGTGTTGTGCTGGCTTTGGCTGTTCCCGGTTTTGCCCTTCTCCCCCCAAAATACCGTTTCTCTACTGAACTTGGACTTATCAGCCACGCATTGGTGTTATGCTTCATTGAGAAGCGATTTTTTAGCTATTCCAACATCTCTTATTTTGGGTTTGATGATGACGTTATGTACCCTAGTTACATGGTGATCACGACGACATTTTTGGGTTTGGGTCTGGTGAGAAGATTGTTTCTAGATAATCGAATTGGACCAAAAGCAGTGTGGGTTTTAACGTGTTTGTATCTTTCGAAGCTATCTATGCTTTTTATTACATCAAGGTCTGTTCTGTGGATTTCAGCTATCCTTTTGCTGGCAATATCTCCTCCAGTGCTTCTATACAAGTAAGAATTCAACTATTTATAAATTCTAGGATCAAATCCAAGACTATGTGAGCAGTGGATTTATTTGGCTGATCGCTGTTCAATGTAATGGTGGAATGTGATGGAGAGAGTGGAAGCCACCATTCCTGTCATGTCTTGTCCTGGTGGTCCCATTCTGTGTCCATTACTGTGCATGATTTTATTGGACATTGATGTCATAAATGGATGATCCTAAGAAGTGTTGTTTTCTATTGACCAATTGGAATATAGTATACTTCTCTTTAGTTGTTACTTGGCTTTTTGATACATTCAGCATTCAGTTAATCTGTGCATACAGTTTCCAGTAGTTAATGGCCTCTATAATAATGCGTAAGACTATATAGAATATACCATTTGTTGGGATATTATATTTTGTATGCAAATTAATTATTGTACAAACTAGATTTGAAAGTCCATTGTTATTATAGAAGTGCTTATGAAATATTGGCATGCATCTTGCTTTGTGTCTCACAGGGACAAGTCAAGATCAACTTCTAAAATGAAGCCATGGCAAGGTTTCGTGCATGGAGGAGTTGTGGCTATATCCGCTTGGCTTTGTCGAGAAACAATTTTTGAAGCTCTCCAGTGGTGGATGGGAAGACCTCCCTCTGATGGTCTACTCTTGGGATTTTATATTCTTCTAACTGGCTTGGCTTGCATACCAATAGTTGCATTGCACTTTTCTCATGTACAGGTATTATTTTATTTGTTGCTTGTTTTATTTGCACTGTTTTCTAGTGACAATTTGGTTCCCTCTTCTTCCTGTGACATTGTTCTTCCTATTTACCGTCAACTATCTTATAATGATTTTGCACTTTACATTTTTGTGCAAAATATATTTTTACATTTTGTAACTGTATGATTTGTGTGTGTGATGTCTTTTCTGTACTTTTGTTGTTTTTGTTAGCCGTAGCTCAATAAAGTTGATCTTGCTTGGCCCTTTTAAGATTATGCTTCAAAAGCATATTGGTCTCGCTGTGAATACAGACTACAGAACCTTGTTTTATTTTTACATGACTTAACAATATTGCATCCTAAATGAAAGTGGACTCTATTGACTATGGATAATACATGAACTGCAGAATATTACCAAATTGCAGCCACCAGTCCTGAATCCCCTCTTTAGGTCAGCATGTTGTGAAGCCCCATGGTTTGCTAACCACTAGATCTGCAAATTAATTTGGGTAAAACAGCCTCCCCATTGATAGGATTGATTTGGGGAAATATCAGTCTCAAAATTTGATACTTTCCCATTAACTTGCGGGGAGAACATCACGAAATAGTACATACCTATCACACCAGTCACTCGCCAATGAGCCCCTTCAACAACCCCTTGAGATTAATTGAATTCAAGCATTAGTATACTGATGTAATTCACCTTCAACATCCCCCAGAATATGGTCCTCTAATCATTTGAGGATGCAACCTTTAATACGGCGATAAGGGCCCAGGGATGAAGTTCACCCAGAATATGGTCTAATCATTTGAGGATGCAACCTTTAATATGGCCATAAGGGCCCAGGGATGAATTTCACAGGAGAGGATCCATGTTCCATTAACTCGAATAAATGAGCACCAAATGACTTCAGGATGAAATTCCAAATTGTATAGCAGATGAGGAAAAAGTGGCTGATTACCTGTATTATATAAGCAAAATAATGAAAAACCAGGATATCAAGAATTCCTTGACGGAAGATGATCTATGATTTGGACCATATTCAGACTCAGGCGCACTAACCATTCATTGGCAAGACCCTTGATGGAGCTGGGACACTCTAAACCCAACAAACAGATAAAGAAAGGTGTCCTGCTGATGAGACGGCTGGACAGAAGGACCCGGAAGGATGCCTAGCTATGATACATGTGTCCTTCTATCAATAACTATCCTTGGATACAAGGACCTTATATCAATCCTTTAAGTGATTGAACCCCGATAATTCCAAATTCAAGTCCCTCTCGAATTGTGTATACCAAACACCTGTCTTCCTTTTGAACAATCCAAGATTAGCTGTGTTTGAATCTGAGGTTAGCCTCAAGAGACACAGAGGGCGAATGCTATTTGCATGGCAAAACATCAAAACAAAACAGAACCTTATCTCGTAACCTAGTACCCTTATTGAACTATTTATTTCGCAATGCGACTAATCATCCTCCTCAGGTACTCTGTTGAACCAGTACTTCATAAATGCCAAACTCATGCCTTGAACCTGTACTTGTCATTAATAACCATTCCAGTGGCTTTTGCTCCCCTCTCCATTAGGGCTGGCAACGGTTCGGGGTCCAGCTCAACCCATACCCGGACCCGAAATACAACATGTACACCCGGACCCGACGGGTCCAAAATCAGCATACCCGTACCTGGACCCGAAATAACACTTTGGACCCTGGACCCAGACCCTTACCTGGCCAGAATAGATCAAAGTCAAGAAAAAATGGGCAAAAAGGTGGATTGGGGTAAAAAAAGTGAAAAATCCAAACATTGTGACTTAAAATGTATTGGATTCTTGGATTAGATCAGAAAAAATTTCACAACGGCCTAATAGAATATTGAAGTGAAAAATGGCCATCTTTCCACACAAAATGGTTGAAAATCGAGAGAGAAATTCTAAGAATGGTGGATCAACCAACATAAAAAATATGAAAACTTAGATTTGGATTTGGATAATTCATTCAAAATCCTTCCATGTAGATAAACGGATAACAAAATGCCTATGATAATGCTATATATTATTGAAAAACGTGAGAAGAATTAAAAAAAAGGTGGATCAGGCATGAATAAAGGGAAAAACTAGCCAAAATTTATCCTCCTGATTTTTTTGATTTGGAGTTTTGATCAACAAGCCATTTATTATTTATACAAACCTGATAGAGGGTTAAAAAATGAAAGAAACCCCCTTAATGTTAGCAAAAATTGTTGAAAAGTGGGTGAGAAATGTTAAAAATTTGATGGGGGTGTTCAATGTTAAAATCTTACGTTCTTCCTTCTTTGATTCAACGATAGCGGAGAGACTGAGAGAGTGGTGGGCTGGTGGGCTGCTAGGCTGAGAGAGGGAGAGAGCTCAGAGACCTCAGAGAGAATCAGAGATGCGGCGGTTTGCCAGTGGCTGGTTTCCACACTTTGTACAGAGGGAGGGGGAGAGCTCAAAGTCGAATAAAGAGAGGGAGAGACCGAGAGAAAGAGGGAGAGAGAGAGCTCAACTTTGACACTTCATACAGAGAGAGGGAGAGAGCTCAAAGTCGAATAGAGAGAGGGAGAGACCGAGAGAGAGGCAGAGAGCTCAAAGAGTAAGAGGCTGAGACGCAGTTGCAGAGGGCGTAAGTAATGGCGATTTGGGGTTTTAGGCCTTTAGGGTTTGGGTTTGGCTTAGGGTTGGGTTTTACAAATAAAAATGATGGGTTGTTACTTGTTAGGGTTATATTTTAGTTAATAACTTATTTAAAATGCGTCCGGGTCAGGTCCGGGGTGGGTCCACTAGGACCAATGTACCGTGAAACTTTGGGTCCTCTTATACCGGACCTGGACCCTACCCACGGGTCCAAAATTTGGACCAATACCTAGACCCGGGTCGGGTATTCCCGCCGGGTCCCAGGTCAGGTCCGGGTCCATTGCCAGCCCTACTTTCCATACCTCTATTGTTGTTGTCCTAACAGGGCCTTAGTTGTCTTCATTCTTCTGATGCCCCAGCCACTGTGTTCTTAAGCCAGCGATCAGCACAGGAAGTACCAGCAATAGAGATGTTTCTCTGTTGTTGGTAGAAGTTGATAAGAAGAGCTCCATGGTCTTGGAGAAAGTGCTAGGAGTGGGACATTTCTGTTATCAGGTTAGAGAATTACAGGGAAGAGTTTTAAGCAACTCAGCTAGTTCCATTACTTTTAATGCTCAGAGTACTTCATTATATTGATATTGGATCATTGTTTCTAAACCTTTTATCATTAGATAACGGGTTTGCAGAGTAGGATTCGAATTCTGCTATCCTACCTTCCAGAAAATGATGAAAATTTTGCCCATTTCTTGATTTCCCTAATGCAAAACTTTGAATTCTTATTTCTGGAACTAGTCTCTTGTCAGAGTTCATTACTGGCATTTAATGTAATAGCAAATTTCCATTCAGAATTTTCCTCGTCTTCCACATTTTTGTGCTGTCATGTGCTTGGTCTTATATTTGAAGCTCTTCTTGGCTTTAATTGAAGATTGTTTCCACTGTTCAGTGTATTTAAGAGTGTTCCTATTGGTTCAGAGGAAAATATATGTCAACATTACCATGTTATGGCCTTTCTGAATCCAGTCATTATATGTTTATCAATTATGTTAAATGAAAGGTATAAAATAAACTAAAATAAAATTATACCCAGTCATTAATTCTGGATACTAAAATGATCGAATTGTTGCTTCTCTCTCACAATGTCTCAAAAAGTAAGTTGCACAATTATTAATGCCTGCTTATGCTTTACCGCAATTCCCAAGAGAATGAAAGCGCAACGTACTAGAGCTCCTTGACTGTTCTTCTAACGCTCTCCCTCTCTCTCTCCCCATTTGTGCAGCAAGCCAAGCGAGGGTTATTTGTGTTGGTATCAGTGGGACTCTTGTTCATTCTCATGCAGCCTCCAATCCCTCTGTCCCTGGCTTTCAGATCACAGCTAATCAAGATGGCTCATCAATCAGCTGATGACATCACTATCTATGGGTACATTACATCAAAACCTTCATGGCCGTCATGGTTGCTCATCACCACGGTTGTGCTTACGCTAGCAGCTATGACATCCATCATCCCCGTCAAGTACATTGTTGAATTAAGGGCATTCTATGCTATTGGAGTTGGAACCACATTTGGCATTTATATATGTGCAGAATACTTTCTGCAAGCACCCATCCTGCATGCCATGCTTGTTGCTTCCATCATTTGTGCTTCCATCTTTGTGGTCTTCACCCACTTCCCCTCAGCCTCAAGCACCAGGCTTCTACCTTGGATCTTTGCCCTCCTTGTTACCCTTTTCCCTGTTATGTACCTCTTAGAAGGCCAGCTTAGAGTGAGAAACCCATTAGAAGGTGAATCGGAGCAAGAAGAATATGCCACCCTCTTAGCCATCGGGGCTCGGACGAGACTATTGGGTCTGTTTGCCTCTATATTTATGCTCATTGCTTTGGAGATCAAGTTTGAGTTGGCCTCGTTGATGAGAGAGAAGGCGCTAGAGAAAGGTGGGGTTTTACAAAACCAGGCAACTCGGGTGGGTGGTCTCGCACCCAAGTATCGGATGGTCCAGCAAAGGAGGGTGGTGGGCCCTACTCCATCGTTCTTAACGGTTAAGAAGCTTGCTGCCGAGGGTGCATGGATGCCTTTTATAGGAAATGTTTCTACCCTTCTTTGTTTCACTATATGTTTGGTTCTAAGCATACATTTAACAGGTGGCTCAAACAGGGCCATCTTCCTTATCACCCCCATATTGTTGCTTCTAAACCAAGATTCAGACTTTTTGATTGGTTTTGGGGATAGACAGAGGTATTTTCCTGTGGTTTTGGCTATTTCAGGTTACTTGGTTTTGCTGGCCTTGTATAGGATTTGGGAAGAAGTTTGGCATGGCAATGCAGGGTGGGGCCTTGATATTGGTGGGCCTGGTTGGTTTTTTGCAGTAAAAAATGCTGCCCTTTTGATTCTCACCCTACCAAATCATATACTCTTCAACCGCTTCATGTGGGACTATGCAAAGCAGGCAGACTCGGTGCTTCTTCTCACTCTACCCCTTAATTTACCATCCATTATAATTACGGATATAATCACGGTGAAGGTTTTGGGGCTTTTGGGTGTTATTTATTCTCTGGTCCAGTACTTGGTCTCGAGGCACATAAGGATCGCAGGCATGAAATATATATGAACCGACACACAAGTGGCATTGTGGTTGTTTCTCTCACAAGGTATTGGTCTCTATTTCGTAGGGGTTTTGAGTTCCCTCTTATTACTATTGGAACAAGTATCTTTGTTTTCTCAAGTAAAATCTCAAAAAGAAAAAGATGATGTGTTTGGGAAAAAGGGAAAGTATAATGCGATCCATTTAGAAGAATAAAAGCATGGTTTTACTGTTGGGTAAGCTTTCTATGCTTCCCCTACTGCATAAAAATTTTATACTCACCCCATCCAACCGTCCATTCATAATGGGCGGCTGAGATGGTCCCAATCACAATGTTACATGTCTACCCTATTTTATTTTTAATTTTTTTTGTACAAAATTTGGGCTTCCACTTCTCTCTTAAACTTGCAATTGTAAAAAATATTCTCAATAAAATAAAATGACCAAAATACCTTTAAAAGTTTCAAGAGTTATTTTGGTCATTATATTTTATCAAAAAATACGTTTTAATATTTTTTTTTAGGTGTGCCCCATTGAGAAGTTGGCACCTACCAAATTTCATATTTATAAAATTTGTAGAAAAGAAACTAGAAAGAAAATACTATGAAACATCAGATCTATAGATCAAACGGCTAGTGGCTCACTTGATCTAAATTGGACGGCGGATGGGGGAGAAAAGTATATATTTTCTATGTTGTAGGGGAAGTATATAAACATTTTCATATACCATTATTACCATCCAGTCAATAGGTTGGGTGTTGATGGGGATGGGGAATGAGACATACAGTTGAATTAAGGACCCTCTGGCATAATTGATGGGCCCACTATCATCACCATTAACTTGTTGACAGGATGTTGTGCTATTATGATCAAGAACATCGGACATTGTGCTATTATCATGAGCATACTCATCAAGACAAGACCGACCCTGTGTTCTAACCGGGCATATGGTTGATCGCTAGCTTGGCTAGTCTGGTTCAAGGTAGAAATCGGTTTGGTCAAGAACTTGCCAAAACCACTATTTGATTGGTTTTTGCTGGTCGGACCACCAACCAGTTTTAACCACTTGAACCGGCTAAATGAAGTTTGGATTTTTTTTTAAAACGTTTGATTTTAATCTATCAAATCTATCATTCTTTCCTTTTATTCTAAAATCTGGTTCAATCTAAAATCTTGTCCTTTTATTCCTAGTTGGACCAGTTTTGATTGGACCAAATACCTTATTAGTTTGGTGACCTGTCGATCTTAGCATATGGATCTTTCTATACTTTCCCTCAAAGAGGAAGGAAGAGTATTTCATGCACCTGGTGCACGACATGCTACACCATGGGGGGATCCTATATTTGTTGGAGACTACAGAACCTGATTTTGGACATTCACCAGGGGTTACCTCCCCCAACATCAAGGATGGAGTGGATGCTTCCATGGTGTGGTTGGCATAAATGTGACTTGTAAAGTGTGGAGTATGCGAGGGATATATACACCATGTGCAACACATTCATTTATTTTGAAGATTTGGAGGGTACTGGGAAAATGCTTTTTCTTTTGATTTTGTTGTCAAATTTGTGCTTATATGTTTTCCCTCTGGTTTTCTCAATCCCCCCAAAAAAGACCGAATATCCAAGAATCTCCTTTGAAATGACTGGAAACAAGATTTCTCAAAATAATTTTAAGAAAATTTCAGGCCCATGTTTCTGGATGTCTATGACTGATTCAGAGTTTTTTTTTCTGATGTTTGAGTGCAGAAAAAAGTTAATTTTAATTGAGGCCCAGTTTTGAAGATAGGGTTCTTCCTTAAATGGAGCAAAAAGTATAGTCTGAGGTCTCGGGAGAGATTGTAATTCTAAACACAGGATTAGAGGAAGTAGAGAGGCTGTGCCCATTCAACTTTACCTGGAAATTTCAGGCATGGGCTTTGTGTAAAACAGTTGTTGAAACATTTTGTGAGGTTTTTTTGGTCTTATTTTCGTGGGTTTCTTGGTTGAAAGAAACATAATAAACTGCAAGTGGAGGAGGTTAATAGGTTGGTTCATGAACGCAGGCATAAATCGTTTTGGTTACAGGAGTAAGTTAAAATGATCTCTATATTGATTCTTATGACAAAGGGCTCTGAGGTAGCAGCAGCAGTTGAGAGAGAGAGAGAGAGAGAGAGAGCGATGTGCCCTAAATGAGTTGCTGGTGAACTTACTGGAAATGCATGGCTTCACTGCATAAACCGATGAGACTCCTTGCAGAGAGAGAGAGAGAGAGAGAGAGAGAGACGTCGTACCTACGTAGTAGTGTCGTCGTACTAACTTAATTAGTGTCGTCGTGGAGAGAGAGAGAGACGTAACTAAGTGTAGTAGTAGTAGTACGTAAC